GGTGTAATGTGATGGCTGTCATTTAGTGATTTGCCATTAGGGTTCACAGTGATGGTGCAAGAGGTGTGTGCTAGGAATTCTTTAACAGCACCTAAAGCGGTAAATGATTTCCCAATTATGTTACAAATGTATTATCCATCTGTGGTGACAAGCATGTGCATTTTTTATTTTTATAATTATTAATTATGTAATGTAAATTTAATTTGGACCCTTTTTTGAGCAAGAGTTATTATAGTTATTGTAAGCACTTAAATAAAAGAATAAATAAATCTAAAGGAATATTACAAGTGGTACATTAAATTATACTGGAGGTTTGCAACACTTTATTGTTGTTGTTGTTGTTGAAGAGGCTTGTGGAACAAAAATTTTAGGAACCACTGGCATTGTGGGAACTGATCTTGAAACCAGGAAAACATGGGTTTGAAATACATGACACATAATGTCTGAATGACCCAGGGTAAATTGCTTAATTTCTCAGGACCACCAAGCAACATTTTAACAATGTAAGTTGCAGAAAAGGTGCCTATTTGCATTGGTAGAGGAAGTTTCCTCACCCAGTCATTCCCTATATCAAAGAAATTGCTGATCCAGTCCATTTCATTATTGATTAATGTTTTGTTAATATATTGTCATCATTAACATACTGTAAATGATTAATTGGTTACTAATATTTATATCATCTTCATAAAATTATTACAATTCCATGTGAGGATTTTTTTCCTTTTTGAAATTGCCAATGCAAGTTCATTATGTCTGACTCCCTCTCCACTGATGCATGAATTAAATAGAATTAGAAAACTGACTTTTTGGGAGTGGTTGAGGGGGAAAAGTCAGGGAATCACCATTTCTGCAAATAAAATGGGATATTTGTATGAGATCTATGAGGAGCTGGTATCCTAAAACAAATTTAGACCACCAGAAATGAAGCCATAGACCTCTTACCAAATGACTATCTCCACATACTTTCCATGAAGGGGAAACACACATCACACAAACAAGCATTTGGAAAGAATCCACTATGTACCAGTTTCATGGGTTGCCATGGTAAAAGAAGTCATCACTTAATAGCCTACTGGCTAGAGAAGATCCTTTGCAACCTTAGGCAGGCTGGCCCTTGCATGGAGGATACAGTGAGACATAGTCATTTTCAGTGACACCAATTTCTTTTTTCAATTATTTAATAAATTATCACCAAAGACATTTTGTTTATTTTTAGTTTTCAACATTCACTTCCACAAGATTTTGAGTTCCAAATTTGCTCCCCATCTCACCCCTCCCCTACTCCAAGATGATGTGCATTCTGAATACCCCTTCTCCTAATCTGCCCTCCCTTCTATCACCCCGCCTTCTATTTTCCTATAGGGCAGGATAGATTTCTATACCCCATTGCCTGTATATCTTATTTCCCAGTTGCATGTAAAAACAATTTTTAACATTTGTTTTTAAAGCTTTGGGTTCCAAATTCTCTCCCTTCCTTCCCCCCCCCACCCTCATTGAGATGGCAAACAACTCAATACAAGTTATACATGTGTAGTCATGCAAAACACTTCCATAGTAATCATGATACCAACTTCCAAAACTTATTAAGCATATGCCCCAACCAGGGATAACCCTCACATAGGCAAAGGTCCCCTGCATTATCTGTAAATTTCTGATCTCAAGCTAATTGTCTTGTCCAACATCGCCATACCATTGCTAACGTCTCTTGAATTAGTAGAGGGATCAATATTCAAACGAGAAGGGAAGAGACTGAAGGATGAGGGTCAAGAAATCACTAAAACAACTGACCATGGAATCTGGACTGGGTAGAGAGGTGAGTGTCATCAGAACATGAGTGATGGATAAGAGAATACTGAGGGGTCAAGGGTCTAGAGGCCACACTGGAGATGAACAGAAGGCTGATTGCAAGATATGGCATAAAAAAGACTGAAAAATAAGAAGTTCGTGTGTAGAGGGGAGAGTTTCAGAGTTCAGGATCTCAGAAGTGGCATAGTTTCAGCTGACAAAGAGGGCTAAATTGCAACTGTTGTTGTGTTCAGAATGCCTCCAAATTATGGATATGTGGCTAAATATACAAGACCAGAAAAGGAAGCAATTAGAGCAAATCAATGCATACTGAATCCTGATTCTCAGAAAATATTTAACTAGCAGAAACTTATTAGTGAAAAGGCTTTGTCATTCTAGCAAACATATGCAGAGACACCACAGATATACACTCAGGTCTTTGTTCATGTATTAACACATTGATATGCATATAATCTATAGTACCAGTGATTAAATTCCTACAAAGGGGGTAAGATCCTGGTAATACCTATGGAAGTACAGGGGGTTTGCAAAGTACTTAGCAACTTCTTGGTGTGTGTGCTTTGAATTTTTTCCCCTACCACCCAATAAAGAACCTAATTTATGAGATTCTGGATTTTATAAAAAACACCCCAAAATTTGCTTTATTGAACCTCTGTCTTGCTTTGTTAAGCAAACTGTTGATGTCACCTTCCTCTCACTCCACTCCTAAAACACTCACCTACTATTCCTTGGGATAAAGATGCCTGGAGTGGGGTCATTATCCACTGTGGAAGTATTACTTATTCCAGATGGAGTTGAGTTGTCCTATGTGTCATCTGCCATGATGGATTTGTCTCCAGCTAGGATCTTTCTAAACTGAGTGTACTCTATTCTTAATTATATACACTTTTCAGCCTTTTATTTTCTGATAACTATGTTGTGATTGCTTTTTATTGTTGTTGCTGTATCAAATCTCTGATTTCATTGAGGAGAATGATGTGGGGAATTCCTGCTATGGAAACTCTCTCCACTGATGCATGTTGGCAACTCTCATAACAGAGTTTTAGAGATTTGCCTGGGGGCAGCAAGAGGCTCAGATGTTTGCCCATGGTCACATAGTCAGTAAGTATCAGAAGCAATACTGGAGCCCAAATCTTCCTGATCTTGAAGTCAGCCCTCCATCTACCACGCCAAACTGTCTTTGGATAATTGTGTAGAAAGTGTTTTTCTCAAATAATTTCTCTACAAACTAATACATTTGTTGTGTTAGTTTGACTGTCAGATTTTAACATATTTCTTGTGGTTTCTTGCTTTCATTAATATAATCAGTTATTACAATTCTATGAGCTAGCTACAACAATAGCTGATTGGCTAAGTAATTCAGCACTGATTTTAGCTTATGGTTACAGTTATGAACACATACTGGATTTATAACTAGAAAGGACCAGAGAAGTTATCTTGTCTAACCCCATTATTTTACAGATGAGAGATCTGAAGTCCAGAGAGTTTCCATCCCAAGGACACCAAGTAGTAAGAGTAGCATAACCAGGATTCAAATCCAGGACCCAGGACCTAGGACCTCAAACTCCAAATCTGTTGTTCTTTCTGTTGCAACATATCAATTATTAAGCTCATGCCCATAAAACCATGAGGATAGGTCATAGAAGTGGGATGGAAATGGAAGTGACTGGACTTCAAGAAGTCAAAAAACTGTAAGGATCTCATGCTTAGAAAGAGCATTTCTGGTCCAAGGTCCTTTCTCATCTGGTAGTGTAAACCATATAACACCTAGCATAGTAGAAAGAACCTGAGGTTCTGTCCTGGGCTCTCTCTTCTTCTCTCTACACTCTCCCTCTTGTTGATTTCATTAGCTCCCATGGGTTTAATTATCATCTTTATGCAGATGGCTTATGAATCTATGTACCTAGACCTCATCTCTCTCCTGAACTTCAGCTCTGGCTATACTAATGGCCTATTGGACATTTCAAACTAGACACCCCAGGGATATTTCAAACACAAAATGCTTACAACAGAACTTGTATCCCCCCCCAAGACTCACCCCTTTTCCAAACTTCCTTTATTCTTTCAAAAACATCATCATCCTTCCAATCTCTTAATTTCAGTATTACTCTCAATTCTCCACTCTCCTTTACCCTGCATATTCAGGAAGTTGCCAAATCTTTTCATTTCTACCTCCACAGCATTTCTCATATCTGACCCTCTCTGTCTATTCACACAACTATCACCTTAGTTCAGGCCCTCATCAACACTAGTCGGACCTATTTCAGTAACTTCCTGCCTGCTCTCCCTGCCTCAAGTCACTCCACATTCTAGTCCATCCTCCACATATAGCTGCCAAAATGATGTCCTTAATCACAGATTCGACTATACCAACTCTCTACTTTGTAAACTATAATGAATCTATATTGCCTCTAGAATAAAATAGATACTCTATTTAGCTTTTAAAGCCCTTCACAACCTGACCTCAAACTATCTTTGTGGGGCAGCTAGGTGGTGCAGTGGATAGAGCGCCAGCCCTGGATTCAGGAGGACCTGAGTTCAAATGTGACCTCAGACACTTAACACTTACTAGCTGTGTGACCCTGGGCAAGTCACTTAACCCCATTGCCTAACCAAATAAAAAAAAGGAGGCGATGTAATTCTCCTTATAGACTGTGAGGAACATAACCAAGGTCAGTTTCTGAGGTCATCCCAAGCCTTGAGATTTGAGTCCAGCTCAGGCACATTCATTGGAAATGCAGGAGCCACAGGGCTGGAAAGATTCACTGTTAAGTATCAAAGAGTCATGGTCAAATATAAGTAAAATTAATAATTGCCTAACCATTGCCTAACCAAATAAAAAAAAAACTATCTTTGTACCCTCATTTAACTCCCAGTGCCTGTTATATAATAGGTGCATAATAAATATTTGTTGATTGACTGAAATGAAATTTTATCAAAATGGGGAATTTCCTTCACCAACACAGATTGCAGCCCATCTATGCTGTAGTAGAGAATCCTGATAGACAAAGACGTTAAGTAACTTGCCTAGAGTCCTTCAGCTAGTATGTGTCAGTATCAGGATTTGAACTCAGCTCTTCCTGACTACAAGATCCTCCCTCGATGCACTAGTCCCAGGTTATCTCTAGAATCCCTTTCCGGCATAGTAAAATATACTTGTATAAAGTAACCTTTCTTTCTCTCTCCTATTACAGAACAAAGATCTAAGGGCCACCTTGATCTCACAGAGTTAATTGGAGTCCCACTGCCCTCGTCTGTCTCCTTCATCACTGGATATGGGGGATTCCCAGCTTACAGTTTTGCACCGGGTGCTAACATTGGCCGACCTACAAGAACTTTAATTCCTGAGACATTCTACAGTGATTTTGCCATCAGTGTTACTGTAAAACCTGATAGTAACCATGGAGGTGTATTATTTGCAATAACAGATGCATTTCAGAAAATTATTTACCTGGGATTAAGGATCTCACAAGTTCAAGATGGCACCCAGAGGATAATACTGTATTATACTGAGCCTGGCTCCCACGTTTCCCAAGAGGCTGCCTCATTTAAAGTTCCAGTAATGACTAATAAATGGAACCGGTTTACAGTTATCATTGAAGGAGGTGATGTAATTCTCCTTATAGACTGTGAGGAACATAACCGAGTTCAGTTTCTGAGGTCATCCCAAGCCTTGAGATTTGAGTCCAGTTCAGGCATATTTGTTGGAAGTGCAGGAGCCACAGGGCTGGAAAGATTCACTGTAAGTATCAAAGAGTCATGGTCAAATATAAGTAAAATTAATAAGAGTCATAACTACATCCTTGAATTGTATTGGATTAGCTTTTCCCAAACTTGGAAGGTAAATGAGCTTCAGTAAATGTTATATGAGACAAATGAAAAGAACCAGAAGAAGTCTTCAGGGGTATCAGGTAGACTCCCTATGAAGGATTTATGAAAAGAAAAAGACAAAAATGACATAAGAAAGAATCCTGGGAGTTGATACACCTGGGTTCAGATCCAGCCTGTACGACCTAGGACAAGTCATTTCACTCCCTTGGTCCTCATTTTCCTCCATCTTTAAGATGGGAGTAGGGAGTTGGATTAAACTTTCTGGGCCTCAGTCTCTTTATCTGCAAAATTAGGTGATTGGACTACATGATTTCTAAGTTCTTCCATCTCAGAATCTATGATGTAGATTGTGAATGGGTTCAAATGTGCATTGAGATGCGCCTACACTGATGAGATCAAGGATCCACTGAAGTAGTAGAAAGAATTCTGGACCTGGAATCAAAGAGCATAAGCTCAAGCCTAGACTCTGCTCTTTATTATCTACGTGGATTTGAGTAAGTTACTTCTCATTCAGTCTAATTCTTTTTTCCCCTTTCTTACGCCTAAGTGTATTATTTAGTAATTTAGCCAACACTATGCTACCATTGTGTTATCTCAATGCAGGTGTGTTTACTCCCCTAAAAGTTAATAGAATGCCAGTGGAGTGGAGGTTCAAGGACAGACCAGGTAAGAGACCATGTGTCTTTTACCCAAGGATCTGCCTAGCTAAACCCATAGATTCTCCTTAGTACTAAGTTGACCACCAAAAATTGATTTTTTTTTCTGTTTCAGGAACAATCAATGATGTTGGACAGGTGTTGGTGTAGGATTTTGTGTTTCTTTGCGATTAACTTCTTTTAAAGTATCATTTATCTACTTAACTCTCTGGGATAGCTCTTCTAGCTAGTCTCCAGAGTCCATTTTGAAATGGGGATTTTCCTTCGTGAAATATTTTTGATGTCCTTTTGGCTTCCAATATCTATTGTTTACTCTTAAATAGAATGACTAGATTTTCTGAGAAACTAACTGTAGGTTGAAAGGCTATATATGTATATATTGGCTTCCAGTATACTTGGTAATTTCTTGTTTTGCATGAAAGTCTGGTGAGTTATGGTTGAATGTTTACACATGAAATCTTCTTTCTGGAAGCTTGAAGAAATGCTTTTTTTTTTCTTTATTGATATAGCTTTGAGGTTTAATGTTGACATGCCTGAGTGAGTTGAATTTTAAGTTTCTTCATATTGAAATTCTATGGCTTTTTTTATTTAAAGTCTTACTTGTTTTCTATAGTTCTTAGAAATTTTCATGATGCTTTAGTGCTTGATCCTTTCTTTTTTGACATTTCTTTTGGTCTTTACTATTTCTGAGATTTCCTCATCTTGATTTGTCCTCCAAAACTGTAATACACATATGCATTGTTTCTACGCTTTCAAACCATAAAAAAGAATCTTCTGGTATTTTGTTTTTAACATCACTTCCATTTCCAAATATGTCTCTTCCTCTCACCTCTCTATACAGATATCCCTTATAACAAAGAATAAAAAGAAAGGGGAAAAGCAGGTCAACAATATTAACCATCAAAGCAACCTAATAGGCAACATTCTAAATTCTTAGCTGTCTACCTCTGCAAAGAAGGGAGGAAAGTACATTTCTTCCTCTCCTCCAGAATCGTGTTTGGTGACTATAATTACAGTGTACAATGCTGATTTTTTTCTTTGTTCTTCTTGTTGTTTTCACACTATTGTGTAGATGGTTTTTCTGTTGCTGTTTACCTCATTCTGCACTTGAAAATCTTCCCATGGTTTTCTAAATTCTTCACATTCATTGTTTCTTTTGACATGATAATATTCCATTACATTAATGTGCCACCATTTCTTTGTCAATTCCCAAAATGATGACAATGTTAAACACTGTATTGTACCTCAGTTACCCCACTGGTAAGATAAGAGTTGAAATAGATGGCCTTTGAGGTCTCTTCCAGTTGAGATCCGCAATCTTACATGTCTTTTAACCTCCTTAAGCCTCTGTTTTGTCGTCTGCTCTCACCAAAGATAGACATGATCTTTTCATCACCAAATTTAGCAGCATCCTCTCAGTCTTCATCCTTCTTGAACCCTCTGCAATATTTGACACTGCTGACCATATTCTTCTCCTGTGCATTCTTTCCTCTCTGGTTTTCATGACATTTTTTTTCTCCTGGTTCCCCTCCTTCTTGTCTCATTGCTATTTCTCAGTCTTCCTTTCTGATTCATCATTGTCACATCCACTAACTGTGGGTTTCCCTCAAGGCATCTGTCCTGGGCACTTTTCTCTTTTTTCTCTCCACTTTCTTACTTGATGCCTCATCAGTTCCAAAGGGTTCATCTCTCTACAGTATATACATATATATATATATATATATGTATGTATGTATATGTATATGTATATATACACACACACAAAATTTCTGTGTATAGAACTAATTATATATATGTATATATATACATATATATGTGTGTGTGTGTATATGTATATATATATACATATATATGTATGAGCACACATATACATACATATAACCTGAGCTTGTCTGGGCATGCCTAGTTCAGAGGAGAACTCAGCACATCCTGACAAGCCCAAGTTACTCACATACAGCCTCCCCAAATATGACTGTAAACTATTCAGGGGAAGAAACTATTTCCCTTTTTTTTTCCCTTTTCCACCCAGTGCTTAGAACAGTGCCTGCTGTGCATCGTGCTCAGTAAATGTTTGTTGATTTATTGATTGACTGAGAATGTTGGACTAGAGTCTCTGATGTTCCATCCAGCTTTGGTCTATGGTACTATGGTACCTCCTTTCCCATATCATAAAAAGAATAATCTAATATAGGTTTTTTTACACACATGTATTATTAACAACTCTGGAATACAATACCAGCATGTACTTTTCCAAAAGAACTTCAAAACATCTCTCATGCTATTGCTAAGATCATCCCAAAACAGTGTATCCTGACTGCACGTGAGCTGTTTTCTTCAGGAACTGGCCAAAACAGTGCAATTCACAGAGAAATCACAAAACTAACAATATAATTAACCAGTGTGGTACAGTGGAAAGAATATTAGATTTAGCTTCAGGATACCTGGGTTCAAATCCTAACACCCACTTATTACCTAGGTGACTTTGGACAACTCACTTAACCTCCTTAGGCCTCAGTTTCTTCACTTGTAAAATGACCCCAAGCCTTCTGGCTCTAAATCTATGATCCTACAATCCTATGGCATAAATGCTATTCTTTAGAGAGTTCAGAATTCTTTCTCATTTGATCTTCCTAAGGACCCAGTGGTAGGTAGTGAGAATCAAGGATGTTGGAAATTCATTAGGCAACCTCTAAAGAGAGAAGCCACAAAATAGGAAGAAGCAGAAAGTGGAGACTTCTTATATTCTCTCTCACTTTCATGGGATCTAGAGCTGCATAGGATTTTATAGGTCATCTAATTGAACTCCAGCATTTTACAGATGAGGAAACTGAGGTTCAGACAGACTCTGAGTGGACTGTCCAAGGTAGTGAGCAGCAGAGCTGAGATTTTCTTCTTCTTGAACTGATATCAGATCCTGCTTTTTTCAACAAGAGAATGTCAGCATCCCAGAGAACAAGCAGTCTATGAGTCAGCTTGTAAGCGCTGTCATTGAAAAAACCGAACTATACACGGAGGTGGGTGTCTGAGTAGGAGTGAAGAAAGTAAGGTTGGACTCTACTACTGCCCAGATCCAGCCTTCGCAACTAAAGAAAGTTTGGGAGAACATGGAGAGTGATCAAAAGTTGGATCGAACAGACATTTAAAGATTGTGAAAGAACCTTACAGAAAGATGAACAGAATGGAGGTCGTGAAGTCTGAGGGGAAGAACACTTCTATTGTGACTCAAGTATATGAAAGGTTCAAGAGGGATAGAAGAATTGAGAATCTAAAAATTGAAATTCTGGCAATGGAATCATAATTCCAATAAGGAAGAAAAGCCGAAGGAATTTAAAGGCGTGACTGTGGCTGAGGGCTTGCTTTTAGAAAGCAGATCTACAAAAGATGGAATGAGAAGCTCCTAAGTAAAGATGAATACAAAAGAGTAGCATGAGCAAGACAGATAGCAAGGCTAAAGACAAGGTTAAGCTGAGGCATGCAAAAGAAAAAAAAACTATTGAAATTTGAAAGGTATTTTAAGCTGTCTTTTGAGCACAACTTCAGCAAGAAAATTTGGTAGGTGGAGAAGCAACAGAAGACACAGAGTGAACTGGACCATAAGCACTGGGAGCACAGGCAGCAGGAAGCTACATAAGAAGTCATGTGGCATGGTGGGTAGAATGAGTATTGGATATAGCATCAGGAAGACCTGAGTTCCAATCCTCCAGCAGATGTTTACTAAGAGTGTGATCCTGGACAAGTCACTTAACCTCTCTAGACTTTTCTTTCCTCACCTGCAAAATGGAGATGATAATAATAGAGCCAATTATTCATTGAGATACTATGTTCAAATGAGATTATATTTAAAATGTGTACAAAGCACACACACATATATACATATACATATACATATACATACATATACATATGGGTATATGTATGTATAGCATAAAGCAGCTAGGTGGTAGAGTGGATGGAGTGGTAGGCCTGGAATCAGGAAGATTTCTCTTCCTGAGTTAAAATCTGGCCTCAGATGCTCACTAGCTATGTGACCCTGGGCAAGTCACCTAACCCTGTTTACCTCAGTTTCCTCATCTGTAAAATGAGCTAGAGAAGAAAATGGCAAAGCACTCCAGTATCTTTGCCAAGAAAACCCCAAATGGGGTCACAAACAGTCAGACATGACTTAAAAATGACTAAACAATAAAGACATATAGAAATATGAGTTTTCATTGACCTATTTTCATATCATTTTGAAAAACTAAAAGCAACATGGTATAATGTATAGCGAGGTAGCCTCAAAGCCAGGAAGTTTTAGGGCAGGAGTGTGCTGGTAAATATTTAATAATTGACTCTCTGTGGGAGGTGAGGGGGAAGTACATGCAAGACACACTTTTAAGTTTAATCAGCAATATTTACATTTTCTCCATCCTTTCTTAACTCTAGACAATAAAACAATACATCAAGGCCAGATCTGTAGCATTTGCTGATTTGGGAGGTGTAAATGCTCTTCCTGAAAACTTAACAATCAGCTCTCACCCTATTTATTGACTTAGGTTCAAAAGTCCCACCTCTAATAATACAGTCACTTAACCTCTTAGTTCTTTGTGTAACTCCATAAGACTATAAATTACATAGAAGTTTCCAGTCTGCATCAGTAGAGAAAATTTCCTCACCTGGTTGTTCCCTATATAAATTAAAACCCAGGTCCAATCTCTATCCCTTTACTTTTATTGTTGTTGTTTTTGGAGGCAATTGGGATAAAGTGACTTGCTCAGAGTCACACAGCTGTGTCTGAGGTCTGATTTGAACTCAGGTTTTCTATCCCCCCTTAGTTTTGAAGGACTAACTTTAAATTTTAAAAGTTCTTCAGATTCTCTGTATTTTTAAATGCCTGAAATGACTAGTTGTCTAATTAACTAACAAGAGAAAACCAGCACATGCCAGTAATTAGGGAAATCTTTAGATGGGGTGGTAGGACAGGGTAGTCTGTTGCCTGAAAGACTGTGGAGCACCAGTATCATCATCACCATCACCATCACCATCAAACATTTATTAAGTAATTACTGTGTGCCAGGCATTGTGCTAACTGCTGGAGTTACAAAGAAAGGCAAAAGCAGTCCCTGCCCAGGATTTCAGAAAAACCTGGAAAGATTTACAGGAACTGATGCTGACTGAAGTAAACAGAGCCAGGAGAAGATTGTACACGGTAACAGCAACATTGTGCGGTGATCAACTTTGATAGACTTAGCTCTTCTCAACAATGCAATGATCTAAGACAATTCCAAAAGACTCATGATGGAAAATGGTATCCACATCCAGAGAAAGAACTATGGAGTCTGAATGCAAATCGAAGCATACTATTTTCTCTTTTTTGTTTTTTTTTCTTTCTTGTGGTCTTTTTCCCTTTTGTTCTGATTCTTCTTTCACAATATGACTAATGTGGAAATAGGTTTAATATGATTGTACATGTATAGCCTATATCAGATTGCTTGCTGTCTTGGAGAGGGGAGAGGAAAGGGAGGGAGAAAATAATTGGAAGGCAAAATCTTATAAAAGTGAATGTTGGAAACTATCTTTACATGTAATTGGAAAAAATAAAATACGATTAAGGAAAAAAAAACAGTCCCTGCCCTCAAGGAGCTCCCATTCTAATCAGAGAGATAACATACAAACATACAAGATAAGTACAGGATAAATTAGAGGTGACCTCAGAAGAAAGGCACTAGCAAGGGGAGGGAAGCAGCAAGAGGGGTGACCAGGAAAGGCATGCATGCAAAGCTATGGAGAACACAAGGTCAGCTCTACACTATGATAAATCAACAGAATAAGATTTTAGTCTAGGATATGTTTATAAATTTTCAGAATTATTCCTTTATACAGCTTCAAAATATTGTAGCCCTGATAAGGTATTAAAAAAACCTGAATAAAATCATAAATTATCTTAATAAATCATCACAAAAGGAGCAAAATGTTCCCCTAAGTACATATTTCTAATCATACTATCAAAGACATGAGCCCTGTGCAGCCTGCTTGATCATCCTTTGGTTAGCTAATGCAAGGTTTAGCATCATAGAACTTGCTTTTAAATACTTTGAAATTTCTTTCATGTGTCCACGGAAATGAATTTTATTTTTAAAAATATCTGTTATGAATGTCAATTTTTTTACATTACATTTAATTCTCACTCCTTTCAAATTAAAGTCTCCCTTGTGAAAAGGAAATAATTAAGCAAAAACATCCTCTTGGTCCAAGTAAATCACGTAAAAATTCATGTAAATCTTTCAAATGTCTGTTATGTGAGGCAAGAACCAGAAACTATATTTATCCTCATGGTTCCTTTATGTTGAGTCATTCACCAACTCTCTTTTCACTTAGGGTTCAATACAACAATTAACCATTCAGCCAGATCCTCACCCTTCCAAGGACCAATGTGAAGATGATGACCCATATGTGAGTACTCCCAGATTTCTAATTCAACTCTAATCAAGCTGCTGCCACAGACAAAGGCTGATTTTCTAGTTGATCAATTTCCATGATGTAATCACTCACATTACAAAAAATTTGAAACCCTCTGAAAATTCTGCATTTGGTTTGGCTCAAATTCTATTTCAGGTGTTTTTGCAGTACTTTAATGATTTTGTTGGTTTATGGATCCAGTTCTGGATACCATGGACAGGGCACTACCACCTTTGAAGACTCTATGCCTGTATTCTCTGTTAAATTGCTGTAAGAATGGGGACACAATGAAGCTTCTCCAAGCCAGAGCCTCTGAGTATCTTTAAGCAGTGAAAGATGGGATATGAAGCCGGCTGAACCCCACCAAATAAACAGAAACAACTTTGTTCAAGAGGGGAAAAGATATATTTAATGAGGACTTGAAAACATATGGAAATTGGGGAAAATTTTCTATCTCAGTTTAAACATGAAAATCCATGAAAACATGGAAATCTATAAATAGAAGATGCATTTTGTAGCAGTAGACCTAGTGATACAGACACATAATTGTAAATAAAATGGAATTAGATTATATCTCCTGGGTCTAATTGGGCTTGCCTTGGGACAATACCATAAGGTCATCCCAAGTTAAAACTAAAACAGACAGACAGACACCCATTGCCTCTTGCACCTTTGTCCAATAGAGAGAAGAGGGAAAGAAAGACATTACTACCAATTGCTGTTCTGTCTGTCAAAAAGAAGAAGGAACCATTGTAACATGCCATTCCTTCTTCCTCTTGGGACAGAGGGCTAAAGACCTGACCAAGCAGAAAACCTGTCTAATTTTAAGTCTTTCTTCCCACTACTTCCAGTCTAGTCATTGCCTTCTTACTAGAGTTTTTATAGTCTGCTTCTCAGCATCTCCTGAATTTTGAAGGCAAAAACGTACAGCATTCCAAATTCTATGTCAAATTTGAGGGTTCATGGGGAGAATTTCCACCTTTTAAGGAACAAATCAGTTTGAATCAAGGAGGTCCTACTTTGTTAAAAATAGAAAGCTGTCTCTTTAGTCCCGTTACATGATTCATTGCTATCCCTTATCCAAGATCTATTGTTCTGCTGGAACTAAGAAGAAGTGGAGTGTGGGTAGGAGATAGAAGATAAGTTATTATACCTCCCCTGATTCCAAATAGGTAGAAAGAAATGATGTATCAATAGAAAATCATGATGTTGCCAAAGATAACTAAGCATGTAGGTGCCTAATAACTACATTTTAGAGAAGACATCAATAACCTGGAATATATCCAGAAGAAAAGAGTGTCTTGAAATTGTACCTCCCAAGGATTTGCTGGAGAGTCTTGACATATTTAGCTTGCAGAAGAGAAGACTTAGGAGGTAAATAATAGCATTTTTCAAATTGTTTAAGGCTTGTTGGAGGGAAGAGGGACTAGGCTTGTTCTACTTGGCTCCATTGGATGGAACAAGGACTAATGGTTGGAAATTAGAGAGAGGGAGATTTCAGCTCAATATAAGGAAAAATTTACTAAGAATTTGAGTTGTCTGAAACTGGAATGAGCAGCTTTGGAGAGCAATGAGTTCTCTGTTCCCAAAGGTCTCCAAGCAGAAGTTGTATGACCATTTGTTAAGAATGTTATGGTGGATGTTTTTACTTTGGATGGGGTTGAACCATATGACCTCTGCATTTTTTTAAGATCCTACATTCTTCTAGCTGAGGGCTAGAAATAGTATATTTTCCTTCTATTTTCCCCAGAACCACAAAAAAAGGACAACTAGATTTTAGAATTTAAAAAAAATAGATACAATGCACATGTGTGCATGTAAGAATTAACCTAAATTAATTAATCCTTTATGCTTTGTAAATGAGAATTAATAAAAATTAAACTGAAAGGCACTGATTTTTCTTATCCCTTCATTTTGAATTCTTTTCTTTTATTTACTTACAGAGCAAATACCAAAAAATTGATTTAGAAGTGAAATATTCTCTCAAACCGGTCGTTTAAATTGATTGTTAAAAAAAAAAATGACTTTTTAACAGTACATCACCTTAGAGTGCCAAGCAGGCTATTGCTTCTTAATCAGGCTTGACCTTTTATGGCAGATGTAGTTGTCATTAACTCATGTAAATTATTTCTCTTTCATATGGTGTATGAGGTGTATGAGTTTGATTTGGTTTTGCCTAGGCATCTGGAGAGACCAGTGGTCTTCAGGAAGCAGAAGATGTTGCTGAAATACAAGAGGCCATCACATACACTCAACCCCCTGTAAGTGGCTGAATTAATTAATTGTTTTACTGATACATCATTAGTTTACACTAATGGTAAATGAGTTTGTTTCGACTGGGCTGCAAATCCTCTTGTACCTTGACAGGATCACTATACTTCAGGATCTTGGGTTTTCACCCACTTCATTTCTGAAGTATCAATTAGTTGGTCAGTAAGCATTTATCAGGCACCTACTATGTGTCAGGTATTGTGCTTAAGCAGTGGGACCCTAAATGGTCATATCAACCAAAGGCAATCAAGTCCCAAGAAAAAGGACTTAAATCACTCACACAAAACTCTTGTGTACCAAGTACCTTCTTTCCTACCTCTGTTCTTTTGCTTATACCATTCTATCTGGAAAGCCTTACCTATGCCCACTGATGAACATCAAAATTCTACACATCCCAGCTTCAATGTCCCTTGTCCCACGAAGTATTTGAGAGAGTAGTTTCAGTAGAATGTTGGAGAAGGAAATTCAGTTCTAGGAGAAAGTGGGCAGTGAGAAAGTGGGGAGGGAGGTTCAAGTATATATTTTTAAAAAGAAATTTAATAGTTAAGGGGAACAGAGAGGAGAGATGGTAGCTGAATGAGATGGAAAGACCAAGCAAAATCTTTTTGTTGGATTGGGAAGCATTGGATATGTTTGCAGGCATATGGAAAAGAGTCAGTGGTAAGACTGAAAATGCATGAGAGAGAGGACATTCACTGGAGGAAGGTCTTGGAGGGGGCAAGAGGAAATGAGATCAGAGATACAGGTAAGGGGATCAGCTTTAGTGAGTAGTAAAGATCCTTCTTTATGAACAGAGGTATGGAGGAAACAGAGGTTGATGATGGTAAGAATAAAAAGAGAAGAAATGAACTCACGTCAGGAGAGTTCAATCTTCTCTCTGTCCCCTAGTGGGGACTTGGAAGCATATGGAAATTGAGGGAAATTTTCTAACTCAGTATAAATATGAAAATCCACAAAAACAACTTCTACAAATAGAGGCTATGTTTTGTAGCAGTAGCCCTAATGATAAAGACACACAATGATAAATACAGCAGAATTATATTTTGACTCCTGGGCCTAATTGGGCCTGCCTTGAGATAAGGCCCAAGGCCATTCCAGGTCAAAACTAAGACAGATAGACATACAAACACACCCAGTGATTCTTGTGCCTTTGTCCAATAGCGAGAGAGGAAGAAAAGGGCGTTGCTACCACCTACTGTTCTGAAATTCCACTGTCTGACCACAACCTGCTGGTCTTCCATTTCTCTGACTTTCTCACGGGCATTAAACATTGTTTGCCCTAATTGTGACCTTTAGTCTCCTTTCCCATCCTTTTTCTCTTAGCTCATCTTTCCCACTTTGGCTCCATTTCCCAGCCTTGAGCCATGATTTGCCATTTTCATGTTTCAGTAGCTACTAACCTAGAATTCCTTATTTGTCTTACCTCTTTCTTTCCCCCTTTCCATCTTCCACTATGCCCATAAATCACTATCCCTAGGTAATGCCCATCTGATTTCTCTATTACTGCTCTAGGGCTACTGGGCCTCACTGAAAAAAGTACTGGTATTTTCGTGGTTTCCATGAGATTTCTTCCCTTGACTCCATGATTACAAAATGAGTACTTCCAGAATTTCAGCAGGAGTGGGGGCTGGGATGATGGGAGAATGGGGTGGGGATAGGAAGGGCAGAGAGAGACAGAAACAGATAGAAACAGAGAGATAGAGACAAAAGGAGTTGTATGGCATCACTGGGTACATTTTGTAGATGTTGGGTTGAGATGAAGGGATCAAAGTATCTTCCCTATCCATGGTAGTATATGATTTCTCCTTGACTCCCCTTGTGAGTGAGTTACGTATATCTCCTTGTGGTTTCCTACATGGAAATCAGTTGGGGGTGGCAAGGTGGAGTGTAAAATTGAGTCTGTCTGACCTTTAAAAAAATGGAAATCTCCAGTGGAAGTTTACTGGTTTTAGGAGGGTGGAGGAAGGTGGTTCTGGGGTAAAAATGGAAATCACCCAGAGTTTAGTAAATTACTGCAGAAATTTCCTCATAAGAGAATTGACCCAAGTCCTTATTGGCTAGTGGCTACATGAGAAATGTTTTCTGAGGTATTCCTTTTCTCTATTTTAGAGAACAGAAACACAGAAGAAAAGTTAATGTTGGCATATGGTGATAATGAAGACAAGGTCTTTTGTTCAGTAGGGGAGAGGGATGGTAGGAGGGAGAGAGAGAAAGATATAGACACTCAGAGAATATACATATATATGCACATATATGTATATGTACAATGTATTTTGCCTGTATCTATGTAAATTGAAGGTAGTAGTGGGAAAGAAGGCTTTAGGATATTGGAGGATGAGTAAAGGCTTCATTTAGGTGCTGTTTGAGTTTAATTTTTGAAGAAAGAAGGGATTCTAAGAGGCGAAGATGAGGAGGGAGTACATTCCAGGCCTGGCAAACAGCCACTGCAATGGCACAGAGATAGGAGATTGAGAAGTGTATGAGAAACAGTATAATGGTCAGGTCATTTGACTATAGAGTAATGGAAGCAGAGTAATATATAATGAGGCCAGAAAGATATTTGGAGTATCCAGATTGTGATGGGTTTTAAAAGGCAAACAGGGGGTTATATTTTATCCTAGAGGCAATAGAAAGCCACTGGAATTTAATTGAATGGGGGAGTGACATGGTCAGACTTTCCCTTAAGGAAAATTACTTTGGCAGCTATGCAGAGGATAGATCAGAGTGGAGAGACCTGAGTTAGGAAAACTAATTAGGAGTGTATTGTAGTAGTCCAAGCAAGTGGTGATGAGGATCTGAACCAAGGCATGGCTTTGTGAGTCATGAGAAGGGGTTGGATGCAGGAGTGTGCTGGACCTGGATCTTACTGGCTCTCAATAGCTGATTGTTAAATTTTCAGTGTGATCATTTAAGCCACAGAAACAGACAAAATGCTACAAATTGGGGCTTGATTTATTGATTATATAGACTTAAGAAAGTGACTAAGAAAATGTTAATAATGTAGATTAAATTTGAGTGTGCCATGTTTTTGGACAGCTGGTTGTTAAACATTTGCTAGCACAGTCTTGGATGTAAGAAATGTCGTGGAAATATAAATCATGAGATTTACCAATTGATTGGGCATGTGGGATGAGGGAGAGTGAAGGGCAGAGGATAACACTGACGTTACACTATGACTTTCCTTATGCCATTGAGTTCTGTCACTATTTTAACAGAGTGAGTCAGTCAACAAATATTTATTAAAAGGGTATTGATTCCTAAGGGGATAAGGAAAGGGATTGGACCTGTGATTTCACTGGTATACAGAGCTTTGGAGTGAGGAAACTCCTTCTAATAAAATAATTATATAATAATAAATAGATGTTATGTTTCCATAAAGGGAAGCTAGGTGGCACAGTGGGTAGAGATCCAGCCCGGGAATCAAGAGGACCTGAGTTCAAATCCAGACTCACTTAACCCTTTTTGCCTTAGTTTCCTCATCTATAAAATGAACTGGAGAAGGAAATGGCAAACCACTCCAGAATCTTTGCCAAGAAAACCCCACATAGGGTTACAGAGAATCAGACACAACTGAAATGACTCAACAACAACAAAACATTTCTATAATTGATGCTTTATAACTTATAAAGCACATTCTCACACGTTGCTTCATAGAATAAGGTAGATGAGTCTGGCATTGCCTTACTTTATTCCCAAAGATGCCATCTGGTTCTAAATATTAACTTTATTGCCAGATAATTTTTGCAGTGGTAAATAGGACATTCACAATCATTTGAATATATTAAAAAGAACAGATTCTTAAATGAGGATCTTTGGAAGAAAACCAAGTCTACGTTCAATTGTTTCAGGTCTTCATAAAAATCTCTTTTCTGATATTCCCCTTTTGGAGGTGAACACAATTACTCTTGGCTTATTTGGCACTTTGTGGGTATATTTTCCTTTTCCAAACTATTCAAAGACATTTCTTTTGCTATTGCTAAGAAAATAATTTTAGATTTTTTTTTTTAGCCTGAAGAAATAAAGTCAGAGCCAGTAGAAGCACCTCCAACAATACCATCTGAGTCTAAGGAAATGGAGCTCTCAGGTGATGCTGAGACTGAGGATGGTCCTGAGGCTGAGGATGGCCCTAAGGCTGAGGATAGCCATGAGATCACCAACACCAGTCACACAGACCACAGCAGCTCAGAACAAGGTCAGTTCCTTAACTCATTTTGTATTCTGAGGCTTTTTCTTTATTACAAAGAATCTTGCCCAGTGACAAATGGAAATCTAGTAGTATTTAAGATACAGTTACTCAAACTCTTAATCAGTTGGGTTTCTTTTAGAGAGCAATTACAGGATTTGTCATTAAGTAATTTGTAATAATATATAGTTAATAAAAGTATAATTTATAATAATTATTAATTTATAATTAATAGGATTTGAATCTGGAAGAGGCTTGAGAGACCATCTAACCTAGACTCATCCTTTTACAAATGATGAAACTCAATCTCTGAGAGGGGAATTTATTTGTTCAAGTTTTTGGCCAATGATTCAATCCTGATATTACCCAGTGTTCCTAGAGATAGAATATTTTGAAATCAAATTGGAATTTAATGCATAAAGAAGCTTAGAGAAACAGAAAGCAGGGACCAAAGGAGCATAAGGAAAGAGATCTGGACCTGGAAGAGGCCTTTGAATGTCTAGTCCCTCCATTTTACAGATGAGAAAACTGAGGCCCCAAGGATGTTAAATGATTTGCCCAAGGTCACACAAGGAGATACAGTGTGAAGTGAAAATATGTTTTGAAACATTTCCATAAAATCATAACCAAATTAATATCTGAATATCCTCCCCAATACCTACAGATTAAAGTCTATACTCTCAGTATGACCTTCAAGACCCTCCACTTTCTGGCCTGCATCTACCTTCCCAGCCATTTCTTATCTATCCCCTACTTTATCTATACACATAGGACCCAGCTGCTAGATGAGGCAGTGGATAGAGCCTTGGAATTGGAGTCTGAACACCTCGGTTCAAATTGTACTTCAGATGCTGAAGTAATCCTGGGCAAGTCACTTGAGGCTTTCTCAGTCTTGGTTCCCACATCTGTAAAATGGACATAATAATAGGGTCTGCCTTATAGGGTTGTTGTGAAGATCAAAAGAGTTAACATATGTTAAGTGCTTTGCAACTGTCATAATACTATAATAATAATAACTAGCTTTATACAAGATGTCCCCAAAGACTTAGTGAGGTTTTAAGCTATTAGTTATTAAACTATAAGATATAAAGTGTATTTATATAAATTTATATAAAGGGTATTAGCTTAAAACGTCACTAAGACTTTTATATATTATACAACCCTCATAATTCTATAATAATAATAATATCTAGCATTTATACAAAGTATCTCTAAAGTCTTAGTGAAATTTTAAGCTATTAGTTATTCAGCTAAAAGCTATTAGCTTCAAACTTCACTGAGACTTTTGTATACTATACAACCCTGGCGATATAATAATAATAACTAATATTTACAAAAGGTATCTCTAAAGTCTTAGTGGGTTTTAAGCTATTAGTTACTAAGCTATAAGCTAGTAGCTTAAACTTCACTAAGATTTTTGTGATACCTTGTATAAATGCTAGTTGTTGTTGTTGTTGTTGTTGTTGTTGTTATTATTATTATTATTATTATTATTATTTCCATCTCTGTACTTTATTCATATCGTTCCCTGTGCCTGGAAGACCTTCCTTGACTTCTATCTGCACCCCATTCCCATTTTACCCTGGTGACAGCTTACCTTCCTTCAAGGTTTTGCTCAAATGAGATCTGCTCTATTAAGCTTTCTTTCCCTGCTTCTTGCCCCACTCCCCAATAGGAATGGATTTCTCTCTCTTTTCTATAGCACTTCGTACATCTGTACGCACTTATATTCCAGTCTGTGTAAGATGTATCTATGCATTTACATTCCCTTTCCCCCTGAGCTCCATGAAGTCAGGGACTAGTTTTTATTTAATCTTTGAGGTTTCCTCAGCGTCTTGCACATGCTCAATAAATGTTTGGTGAATAAATAAGATGAACAGAGATTTGGAGGACAATTGATTTAATGTCTCCTAGATGAGGAGAGACATTAATCCTGTCAGTGCTGATCATGTGGATTGAAGAGTTAGGGACTAAATTAAGGCCATTAGATGCCAAAGTGACTGGTCATTTTGGTGAACCAGCTAAACCAATTATTTGATATTATATAATTGGCTCCACATCCATCAGTCCTCCCCCCCAAAAAAAAAGTCTTTTGACTGAAGTTTTCACCTTTCAACAAGTTATGTTAATGTTCTGTACTGTGGGAAAAGATGGTAGAAGAATTAGTGGGAGAAGAATTATTTGCTGGACCTAGAAGCATGTGACCCTGACCAAATCACTTCCTCCCTCTTTGGGCTTCGGTTTTATCATCTGTGGAATGAAGCAGTTGGACTGGATAAGCTCTAAAATTCCTTCCAACTCCCAAATTCTGTGATTTAAGCAGCAAGAATACCCTTATGGCCCAAATCTCACTTTTTACTAGTTAAATGAGGCCCGGTGAAATAGGGAGCCAGCTGGCCACAAGTACTCTCTAGTGGTTGACAACCTTTTGTGGATGAGAATAAAGTCAGTGGTAGACAGTGAAGCCTCTTGGCAACCTCATGGTTAACCAGTCAACTAGACTTCTTGAGCCCCATCAGAGTGTATGTGTGTGAATATATGTCCCATGGGGGATGGTAATCTCATTTTCACCTAGTCTTTATACTATAATAGAATGACCCTTTTTTCAATTTAGGAACTGGTGACTCCATTCATGACACACAAGAAAAGGACAATGTTACTGAGAGTGACCAAAAAGAAGAGATTGGTTCAGGAGATGAAGAGCTCCTTGAAATAAGTGGAGAAAAGGTGTGTAATAAATTAAATATGTCAATTCAGTAGGGCGCACCTCATTTGCGTCTTTCAACTTTAATAGTGACTTTTTTATTAAGTATACCATCACCAAAAAAAAATTATGTCTATTTGCTCATATTTCCCTTAATAACCTACTCTGATGCTTCCTCATGACCTTCAGATGACTCTGTTTCAGTTCTTGAAGGCTATACTAATGAGGCACAATCTTTGGAAGACAGAAAAACTCCAACTCTGGGCTGAGTGATGGAACATGTACCAGCTGTGTGAGGGCAAGATTGGGGGGATGGGGTGCGGCGATCATTTCCAAAAGGTTGGCCAATAGTGATGAAGTTTTTGGAGCTGTGGCAGCTTAGATAGGCAATACATAAAACATTCAAAAACGTGATCTGTGAAGATAGAGGAAATGAATATCCATGCCCAGAAAATCATAGATCTTTGAAGGTGTCAAAAAATTGCTTATAGCTCCGAACTGAGGACAGTACAGAGTAATTGAGAACCATACTGTGATCTGTCTCTGAGCTTCCAAACATATAAAAAATATTTTTACCAGATTTGTAAGTTCATCTGTACTTGAATTTAGCCATTATAGATTCATATAAATGACTAATAATTTAATTTCTGAGCATAAACTTCCCTCCATCAAACTTCACATAATACTTTACTTTCTAATGAACTTTTCATCTAATGCTGTGGATTATAGTGATCTATATTTGTATCCTCACCCCCACCCCCCATCCTTCCCTCAAGCCCTCAACACCTATTGGAACCAGGAACATGTATCATCATCATCATTATTTTTTTTTTATCTAAGATGTATGATTCCATTGTTGTAGGTTTCCCTGGTAAGGGAACTCCCTTTAAAAATATAAATCAGCAGCTGTTCTGTAATTTAGGGTATTAAAGAGTTGCCTGAAGTACTGAGAGATTAATTGATTTGCCCAACATCACACAGCCAGTGTGTATCAGAGGTAGGATTTGAATTTTTGGCCTCTAGGGCCAACTTTCTTCCCACTATATTCTACTGCCACTTACCCAAATTAGCTCATTTTAAACAGGGCCAGGGATTTGAGCCATCTACCTGGTAGATTCAACTAATCAGCTATGGGTTTACCAATGAGCAATTGATTACCATGAGATTTATTCAACTAAGTCGATACCACTGCCAACCCAATAAAATAATAATTCAAAATTGTCAGTTCACTTATCCAGGTTATTATAAATGCACAAGTAGACCCATTGAATGTCAAGTATTCCATTGCTTCATAGCTGTCCTAGAATTTTTTTTTTAAATTGACAATAAATGATCCACTTGATGGCAACACAAAGACTGAACTTGAATGTGTCTTTCATTTTTTCCAGTATCCAAAAAGGTAATAATGCCCATGGTGTCCTTCTTCAAGGAGATGTTGTGAAGATAAAATGAAAATAATGCTATTATTAAAATGGAAATTGTTAGATATGCCCCAATTTTATACTAATTTCATTAGCACAGTGACTGGCACACAGTAGGTACTAAGTAAATGCTTGCTGACTTTTCTTGATTTGGAATCATGGCAACTTATACTTCAGCATTACACTGGATCTATGATCTCATCAATTTAGGTACTCCCTTTCACAATACAGTTCACAATCCATCTACACCTACCTATCCCATGTGACTCTTGTGTCTATGTTCTCTTAATCTACCACAAAGGATCCAGCTAACATACTGAGGCCCTTGACACTGAATCAATACCACTGGTTATCTCTTACTCTCACGATGTGACTGGACCAGACTGGCCCATCTTTCTTTATTTTTCTTTTTTTTTAATTAATTTATTTTGATTTATCAACAATCACTTCCATATACTTTTGAGTTTAAAATTTTTCTGCCCTTCCTTCCTACCACCCTCCCCAAGATGGCGTACAATCTGATATAGGCTATACATATACATTCCTATTAAACATATTTTCACATTAGTGATATTGTAAGTAAGAATTAGAACCAATAGGATGAACCACCAGAAAGAGGAAACAAAGCTCAACAGAAGCAAAAAAAATAGCAAATAGTATGCTTCGATCTGCATTCAAACTCCACAGTTCTTTGGATGTGGATAGCATTTTCCATCATGAGGCCTTTGGAGATGTCTTAGATCCTTGTATTGCTAGGAAGGGTTAAGTTTATCAATATTAGTCATCACACAACATGGCTGTTATTGTGTACAACGTTCTCTTGGTTCTGCTCACTTCACTCAGCATCAGACCATACAAGTCTTTCCAGGTTTTTCTGGAGTCAGTCCATTCATCATTTCTTATAGCACAATAGTATTCCATTACATTCATATACCACAACTTGCTCAGCATTCCCCAATTGATGGGCTTCCTCTTGGCCCATCTCTTTCTTTCTTTCTTTCTTTCTTTCTTTCTTTCTTTCTTTCTTTCT